AAAACCAGGTACCCAAGCCTGCCTTACACCAAAGGCAGGTTTCAACGGGCATGACTTTTAATTTCTTAAAAATGTTTTGCTTATAAGCATGCATTAAATTATGCTGAACATTTACATTAGCTCATATTTCTGATTCACCATCCCTTGGATGTATGAGAAAATACTGTACAGCATTTTCCACAAGGTATAACATTATAACGGAGGACCCAGGTTGAATCAGAACTCAAATCAGTTGAGGCCCATTTGCTGGCTGACACCCAGCATTCACTATCTCCCTGCCTCAATCATCCCCAAGCTCTGCTGTGAGCATTAAAGTAGGAAACAAGACCATGAACTCTGCAGGCTCTTGGAGGGAAGAAAAAACATACATGTCACAAATAATCAACATGGTTATCTTTTGAAGTTCAAACTTTTCTAACTGGATTAGTAACAGAGTTTTTTATGCCAAACACAAAGCATGCCTATCACACACTGATCTAACAGCTGCTAAGGAACAAATGTGAATAAACTCTACCTTGTACAGCCCGTGACTATAGACCTTTACGTTATTTTACCAACTGCTGTTATGGAGAAAGACAAAATGAACAAGCAGATGGAACAAGGCCATTTCAAAAGGTGCACTCGTGGAAATATAAACAGTGGGAAACAAACTGAATGACAATCATCAACTGCATTTAGTCAAACACCTACTTTTCAGTGTAGGCTAGGTACCACCTGAAAAGAAAAAACAAAAATAGCTCCTGAAAACAAACATGATGCCAAGTGAAAAATGTATTTTAAAATCACTGCTAGCTTTAGCAGAACTACTAAAAATCTGACACATAATTAAAAGGTTGGAGTGAAGCCCAATGCTTCAGACACAACATTCAATTAAGTTAAATTTGAGAAATGCATAAGTTTTAAGATATGTTGTTCTATTTCTATTGTTTGAAGCCTCCTCTTTACATGGAGAAGCAGGATATAACAGTTACAAAGCAATTTTAAAATAATTTTAGAAATGACATTCTTTTAGGCTAAATTAAGCTTTTAGTTCTTGTCTGCAATTTGACTGTACTCCTGTGCTTTGTTTTTGCTGTTGTTTATAAGCCATCTTGGTAGCATTTTCACTGAAAGTATAATTTCACTATAAGTTCATTAGATGTCATTTATTCTGCCCTGCCAAGCTTTCAGGAGTAAGCCAAAACTCCAGCAACAGATTATCTAGAGCTAAATCCAATTGCCAGTACTACAGTACTTAGAGCAGATCCACAGAACCAACAGGAGCTTGATAAATCAATACTTATATAAGTTTCGCTGACTCAGTGAGCTGACTCTAGATGGGACTAACAACTGGATTTAAGCCTTAATAATATAACTTTTAAAGCATTACCAAAACAACATGCCACTTCCAAAGAGGAATATTTAAGACAACTGTATGAACCTAAATGACACTGGGTACAATTCCAAATGTAATCCCATTCCACCAAAACCCTTTCACTTCCAAAGAAATCTGTTCTGGATCTATTTAAAGTCTCAATGCTTCAGCTGACCTCTGATGTTAATTAACAGCACCAATTAGGTTAACACAATAAATTACTGAATTTTTAAAGTTCATCACAGTGTAAACTACTTTAATAACCTAGAATAGGCCATATTCTCCCACCCACTCCCAATGTATGGGTGTAGGTTACATGCAACTCAACCATGCTTCTTTCTTGGCAAACATTTTTAAAAATTGCATTGTTAATTTATTTTTTAAACATGGGTTTCATTAAACACACAGCACATATAAATTATTAGGAATAATGTTTAAGTCAACAATTAAGCTTTTGCTTCACGTCCTTTTTTAATCTGTATTTATTTCTATAACAATTTCAGCTCAAATGCTGTGGCAGAAGCTGCCATATATTGGAAAAGGGTTCAAGAGAATTTCCTTTCCATCACAAAGAGGTTGCATGAGATCAGACCAATACATTACACAGCTTTACAAACAATGGGTGTTCAAAAGGCATGTAAACTGCTTTGGAAGAAAAATAATTAAATCAACACATTTATTAAGTAAAACAGTTCAAAACCATTTTTATAGAAGGTTTGAGATGTTACAATCATGCTTTCCTCTTTTATCAAGAATATTTCTCCTGCCATGTTAAAAAAAATCAATAAAATATTAAACCTGCCCACCCAAATTTGAGGACTAAAAAAAATAGGGAAAAATTCTGGACATCTGCCACATCCCAGCCCTGAAAGAACAGATTAAAAGGGAGAAAAAGATTAATGAAGTCAGAAAAGGAATCTAAACTGCACAGTTTAGTTTGAGAAGGCTGTTAATATTGAGCAGAAAATGAAGAGTTGCCTTCTTGCAAACGCCATCTTGTTGCAGTTACCCGGCCCAAGCACAAAAAGATCCATTCATTCCCAGAACAAAAAAAAGGGGGGGGGGGTTTGCAAGCATACACACCCCCAGTCTTCAGCCACTAAAATACATACTGAAGCACTCCCCTTTCCACAAACCATACAAGAGGAATAAACGCTTAACACGTTAAAATGCCTTCTTCATCTCTGTTACCCTAATATGAATTTCATACAGTCAGGAACAGCATTGTGTCTTTATTTCACTAGTGTCTGCCTAGCAGGAAACCTCAAAATATGCAACAAACATTTTCCTCGGGCTGTGCCCCACCAACAGCCAACCCAGCAGGACGCCCTCCTTCCCATTTCTGAGGTTATGATTTCCCCACATCTCAATCCGTAGAGATGGGGTGGCGTTAAAAAGCAGCCATCCTCGTCTGAGCTTTTCCTTTTCAGTAAGATGACATTTTCCTTGCTTAGCGCGGATAGAAAAAGCCCGCCCTAGGAATCCAGGCTTACATAAAATGTGCCCCAAGAAATGGGTTTTGCTAAGGCAATCATGACCAAGAATCACATTTGTTAAAATTTCACTTTATCTTCACAAGTGATAAATTGATAGCCTGAGATAACCTCTATACCACTCTAATTTTCTTCCTGACATGATGCCCCCTTTAAAAAAACACACACAAAAAACCTCCCCTATCCTGAGTTCATTCTTTCTTTAATATCACAGAATTGTCTCCACACCCCTTTCCCACATTATAGATAACTTTAGAGATCCAATATATAGAGAGATCTAAGATATATATATTCCTTTTAAAAAGGCTTTTCTCTTGATTCTACAGGGGACCTTTCTTTTTTCCATGCAAGCTTTTCCTGGCATGCTCCCTTACTGTCCTGCAGCCAACGTGTCCACCCGGAGCAGAGACATTAAATGGCAAAATTACACAACCTCTATTAAAAAGGAGTAGTTAAACAACAGATTGATGAGTGCCTCAGGTATGACAACAAAAGTATGAACCCTTTCTTACTCCCCTCACCTGCATAACACGAAGAAAGCCATCCAGGTCCCCCTTTTTTCTCGGCTCTGCCCCCACCCTTGCCCCCCCGAACCGTCTAAAAGGAAACTCACCCTGTTTCTCCTCCACCCAATCAATTTTCCACCATTATGGTCTCAGCCGTACACAGACAGCAATTTCTCCCAAGCATCCTCGCCGTGGACTTGGCTGCCCCCCACTTCTGGTTTCAAAGCAGAAAAGGATCCCAGTCTCTCTCTCTCTCTTCCCCCCCCCTTTCCTATCTCACTCCATCAGCTAAAGAGAAACAGTAGCCCCTCCCTGATATTGTGGTGATGGGTGGGACTGGTCTGGAGACAATAAAAAGGGAGGGGGTAATGGTTACTGTATTTCTTGATTTCCCTATGTCAGCGGCCTGGGGGGGGGAAGGGCTGGGCTGGGCACTGGAGTAGGAGAAAGAGAAGGCATTGTTGGGTGTGGGGGGGCACAGAGGGTCTAGGGCTGAAAAGCAGCAGGGTTGCAGGGTAGTGAAAGGGGGTGTCAAAGGAAAAGGAAAGCAAAATGGAAGAAGAGGAAGAAGGGGGGGTCAGGGATTTGAAGCAGCTGTGGAAGGAAAAGATGGGGTTGACAAAGGGAGGGGAAAGCAGAAGTCACAGGAATAGGAAAGAAAGAGCCAAAGCCAGGAAGGAGGGGGTGGGAAAGCGTGGAGGCACCAGCCTCAAAATGGAGGGGGGGAGATATAAAAATGGGGGAGGGAGGAGAGGAAGGAAAAAAAGGGGCAGAGGAGATGGAACAGGATTTAAGTCACCAAGTGGGAGGGTTTGGGGAATATAGGAAGAGAAGTGTGGGAAAATGAGAAAAAAAATATAGGATGAAAGCACCCCCCCTTTTTTTTTTACTTTAACAGGCTGTGTGGGCATGATTTGGCTAAAACGGTGGAGGAGAATGTCAGCCATGGGGCTTCTGGGTTTCCTGGAGGTTTCTCCCCCAAATCACTCTGACCCATAGTTTTACAGAATACTATACATCTCCGTGTATTATTTGTTTTTTAACAGTAGAAGAGGTTTATATG